GTGTGTGTGTGTGTGTGTGTGTGTGTGTGTGTGTGTGAGTGAGAGAGAGAGAGAGAGAGAGACCCAACTGGCAGGCCTTTTCCTTTTATTTGAACCTTAACTTGGACATTTTGTCTGAAAACTCTGTTTTTTCACTAACATTCTAAAAGTTTCATCTTTTCCTTCTGTTTATTAAAAAAAAAACTCAGGATAGAATAAAGCTTATGTTGCTGAGCTGTAATGTAGGAATGAACAAACTATCCTTTACTCCTGTTTAAATTGTACATTTATTTATAATTTCAGTGCGAACAGCAGGCACACACACAGTGTGTGTCTCTGTGATGGACTTGTGACCTGTCCAGGGTGTACCCCGCTCCTCACACACTGACTGCTGGATATGGGCACCAAGTCACCCCTGTGACCCTGAAAAGAAGAACTGGGCATAGTTAACGGATGGATGGATGGATGCAAAGTTTAGCAGAACAAAAAATAAAAAAAAATAGTTATTTTTATTCTCCATGAGGAAGTCTTCATCCTCTCTGCCTTTGGTCAGTGGTGGGAGGTGAACAAGGCTGCCGCGATCTTTGACCAGTACACTGACCCCTCACTGGGGAACCAATGACTTTGAAAGTGCTGGAACATGCACACACATACGCACACACACACAAAATGAAAAATGGAATGGGCAAACTCATTCATCACTTTAACAAACACAAGCTAGGAGCTCATAAAGAATGAGGCAAAAGATAAAAAAAAATGCACTTTGGCAATAAGCGGCAATAAGCTGAATTAAAAATCAGACTTTTCATGTTCAAATACGTTGTAAGTTAATTAAAAATTAAGTAATTTAAACTATTTTGATTTTCTCTTTAAACACAGGCAACTCAAACACTAGTTTTCAGCTCACAGGTGAGTCTTTCACGTCACCAACTTTTTATAAGTGCTGGAAGACTGCAGTTCCAGTATGTTTGCCTGTGGTTTTCCACATGGTTCCAGAACTTTTTATCTTCTGACCCACAAACTATCCATGGCAAAAACTTGTGACCCCAAATATTACTGGTCTGAGTACATGAACTTCGTTAATAACCCTA